AAATTCAAAAATTTGAAAAAGTTTTAATTTTTGACAAATCAATGAAAACTTGATGCTGAGAAAAGTTTGTCCTGAAACACCTAGGCCTTCCTCCTTTGTTTTAAGGATTAGTAGTTGACCTCAGCTCATTCTACCCATGGAATCTGACCATAAGTGCATAAGGTGGAAAAGTATATGCTGATATTGTTTATGGGAATGACTATTTAAAAAGAGTTCTTCATTGCATTAACGTGTCTTCTTAATTTTCCAAAGACTTGATCTCCTTCTGCAATGAGAAGTAATCTTGTGACAAGGGAGAAGTAATCCTCCAAGGGAGAATAGGACTGGAGTCTTGTTGGGAGGGAGGAGATGTTCTAAACTCCAAGAGAGATATGTACACCCTCCAGGCTGAGAATGGAAGAGTGTGGTAGGACACTGGAGACAGGCTGAGGCCCAGGCACCTGCCTCCCAGGAAAGAACTGCTTAAGCTGCCTCCTACTCAAATCCACATACCTTCTGGCCTGGCCTCATGGTTTTCTATAAATTGTAAGGTTGCCATAGGCATAAGAGAGAGGTAATAGATCCCTTCTCTGCCTAGATTGACAAAAACCATAAATAAATCCATTTTCCTTTGCTAGTTTCTGTTTCATTATTTATTTTAGAATTCATGCATTCTAAGGTAGGGTGAGTTATAAACCTAAGTGATGTTAACATTTCAGTAATCCAAATATAATTATTCTTTAAACCGAAGAAACTTCATTTGATTTAGAGAATTTCACATTGATTATGATTTACCATTTCTAACTTTTGTATTAGTAAATTAAAAGGAAGTCTAAATAGGATCATAAATTAATTTGGGAGCCTCTGATTCTCCAAGCCAAATTTCCTGACCCTTACTTTCTTAGCAGGCATAAAACTTCCATCTCAGCAACCATCTGCCCACTTGCAGTTCCCCACAGCCACCAGCAGCAGTGGCTGCTATAGCTTGTGTTTCTCTAATGGTACCCAAACCCGAAACACACAGCTGTGGATTTAATGGTGTGCTGTCCAGCCAAGTCCATGTGTTCTGTGGGTTTGTCAGGTTCAATCCAATCCGAAAGTAAATTCCATCTCGTGTGAAGTCCTGAGAAAGTAGACACAGAGAAAGTCAGCTACATTCCAGCTGCTATTAAAGAAAACTCCTCTGATTTTTTTTTCTACCTAGACTTTAAAGGATCTTGATATTGAAGCTTGAGAGATGGCTCAGTGATGAAGAGCACTTGATGCTCTTGTAGTGAACAAGTTTGGTTGCCAGTTCCCATACGGTGGCTAAGGATCCCTAATTCCAGTTCCAGGGGATATGTCTCCCTCTTCTGGTCTCTGTATGTATTTGTTCCACCTACACACATACAGGCAAAATATTCATATACATAAAGTAAAACTGAATTAAGTAAAAAAAAAAATTAAATACTTCATGCCTTTGTCCACACTCAGGAAAATTATAAGTTTTCTGTATATTTGCAGAAAGAAATAGATACGGAAAGGCTTTGCCAGTGTTGGGTACACTATGTGTGTAAGAACGCAATGTTAGAATGCAGCCTCTACTCCCGCTACAATCTCTGCAGCAGCCTCCTCTCCCCTTTCATAGATACTGACTGGCATCCTATGGCGACACTGTGAGTCCCTGGCTAACAGAAAATCCTTGTGCCAGGAAGTGAGGTTACATCAAATTCACACATCCTGGTCGTCACCCCCTTCCTTGCCTAGGCCTGGGAAACAGGCTCCAAGCTCTTACTGTAAGATCTCCCTCATCCTCACAGAACTGTAAGAAAAGTCTCTCTCTGTCTCAGGGGCTCTGATTTCTCTCTCTAGAAGCCCTGCTGTCTGTCTGGGGCCTGAACTCTCCTCTCCCACCATGTTGTTCTCTGTCTGCTCATAGCACCAATAACTCTTCTAATAACAGTCCTTATTCCCAGTGATTGGTGTCAGTGTCTTCTGGAACGCCTGCCCTCATCATGAAGGTCCATTGTGCTTATGGAACTTATGACAGTGTAAATAGCAGCCTTTGCAACGGTACAGAGGGGACAGAAGCAACAGGTGCGAACAAGCCCTCGTGAGGGGGACAGCTCTTTCCTGCTTGTTTTGGACTAGGAGCGTGCAGACTTAAAAACAGGTGAAACTGCATACAAACCTAAAAAATTGGTAATGCTTTTGTGAGTCTCTCAGAAAGCGCCTCCTATCTTTTTCTATAAGAGTTAATGTGGGAGGATGGTGTTGATGGTAAAGGAACCCCAGTTATCTGCCACTCACCTGTCATAAAATAACCTATAAGC